GTTTTTTTTTTTTTAAGCAACTTGCCCAACACTAGTCCCACTGTATGTGAGGCGAAATGGAAGCAGTAGACATTGAAGGTGTGTTTGCAGTGAGCCGTGTTGGTTGCATCTTGCTCTTCTCACCTCAGCCTAAATTTCAATCTCATAGCACTGAATGACAGCACACACTAAACCAAATCCAAATTCCAAAACATGAATTCATAAATCTATGAGTGATGTCAAAGATGCTGTATCTGTATTTCTCTACAGTCTATGGTTAATTTTTGTCATTTCCTTCGCTGATTTATTTCCAGCCTTTTCCAATGCAGCTGGTGTACGCTTCAACCCTCTCTGGAAGTTTGCTCCATTAATAACAAATTGAGCTGTTCCATACAGCACTGAGCTGTCCTGCACCTGGATGCACACTTGGCCAAAGTCATGACTTCACGCTTCACTGGAGGTCTTAAAGCAGTTGTGGGAAGAGTAGTCCAGAGAGCTAAAAGATCCATTCAGGAACAAAAACTTGATAATATTTTCAATCCTATGGGAGATATACACATGTGCGCTTAGAAATCCAGAGATTAGCATGCTTTCCCAGGCTGCTTAAGTTTCAGAAGTGGTTAGGTTTCATAATATTGGATGTAAATAGCCGTTCTAACTTGGCCTTTACTGACCAGGAGCTGTGCCAAGGTTGCCCAAGTGAACCCAGATGGCAGCAAGTTGCTCCAACCAAAGACCTGCTGGGAAAACAAGCAAGACTATCTTACAATAATGCTACTTATTTTCTCTTTTTTTCCTACTCTATCCTTTGTTCTGACCTAGATCTCTCTTATTTTAAGGTATCTCACTTGAAAGTAATCAGCAGTGACGGATACTCCTTAGCTGTCTGCACTTTTCTCTTATCACTCATTTCTCCTCCACAGTCCCTGTTGAAAGCCAGTGAGTCAGTGTCTCCAGCAGGAGAGACAGAACAGGAGTGAGCTTACAGTATGTCTGCTTTCCAGCACGGATGCAGGCAATAAAATGTGTACATGGAGACTTCTTGAGAAAGATACAGCTCATTTACATTTTGAATTTCCTGACTGAATTTCCTGAGTATATCATGCTGGCTGAAAAATAAGTTCCTTCTTTGTAATCAGTGATCATCAGTCAGTTTGTAAGAGGCCTCTAATTCTGTAAGCTTTGGTATGTAATTTTGTGAGAAAAAGTGCATTTGATTTCCGTTGCTTAGCTCACAGCTGGAGATCCACTTTACTCCACCAGGTCACCTCAGGGCCTCGGTAAAGTGTTTACTGACAAAATGGTCTCACACAGCTGCATGGCTCACACTGTACGCATGTTGTTTTTTTTTTAAAGTCTGATGAATAGGCTATGAAAATTAGACAAAGAGATAAGGTGAGACATTTAAATCGCATTTGCGAAATTGGGTCAGGTTGAACTGGAATTTGTGATAAGATCCGGTATTTCTTCTGTTTCTATTAATCTTTAGTTTAGTTCTTTTCACTCATTCATGCCAAGCATGATTTGTTCCACCAAATCATAGTCTAATATAGTGATGATCGTGACCAAGTGTGATGTGGAAACTTAAAGCCTCTAGCGCACATATTCAGAGAATGTTTTAGTAGTAAGTAGGACAGCAGAAAAACGTTTGAAATATATATTTGCATATTCAAAGATTCTGGATTTAAGAATAACAGAGGAGTAGATGTCATTTTAAGAGTTTTGGGGGGTTTTTTTGTGTAAAAACCATATCAAGCACAAATTATTATTCAAGTATTTTTGTTTTGTAATAAGTCTGGAGGGGATCTATAACTGTTAAAGTCTTTAAAAAAAAATAACAGAGATGTAAGACTCTTTTTGTTTTAGTTTTCTCTGTATGTACTCAGGGTGTGTAGATTTCTCATAAGTGCTCTTTGAATGCACTTGCAAGGGTTAAGTGCTCTGCTCAAGTGTAGGGGTGGAGCCTCATTCATTCATTCACTTCCCTTATCAAGATTTTTTTTTTTTTACAGCTGGTGTACAACTTCATGTCTCTCAAGCCGATTCCTAACCTTTAGGTCACCCTTCTCTCTGTCTTTAGGACATGGAGGGGGCAGAGGATGGAAGCAGCGGCCGATCTGCTGACAGGCTAAAGTGTCAGCTAATTAGCAGCGACGAAGAGGAATCCTCGACCAGGTAGAGAGGTTCAAACTGATTTTTAATCACAGCAGAGTTCACTTCGAAATGAATTGCTCAGGATAGCATAAATGTTAGTTTACTCCGGAAAATGTAAAGCTTCTGCTGGAATAATATTTTGATATGTTAAATGTATGCCATAGAATGATCGGACACTTCTATCAGGCTTTTACTTTGAATGGAGTTTTATTTTTCACCAATGCATTTAAACTTTGAATGGAGTGGAGTGAAAGATTTTTTTTGGGCTACAGTACATTACACACACTACAACACAAGCCAATGAACAAACAAATTCACCCTAAAAGAACAACTTACACGCTCACACAGACTGAACGGAGTACAGAGGTAATTATAGACCAATTCAAAGGTTGTTTAATGATGTAAACAGCTGCAGAGATAAACCAGATAAACCTGCAGAGCTTCTCTTATACCATGCACTCTCTCTCGCACACACACGCATAAACACTCAGTGCTATGTGGTAGCCATGGTGATGCAAACCAGACTGAAGTTAATAGCTGCAGCAGTGAGAGCCAAACTGTACTTAGCACTGTAACCACTGGAGTAAAGTGTGTGTGTGTGTGT